TTTACAGTTAAGTAACAGAGCACTTTTTCCGTGTTAAAATAGCCTCATCTAAACACGAGGAGGGTTGGGAGAATTCGAGATAGTTATGCTAAGCCTCGACTACGTCTCTGGTTTGCATGACTTTCAAGAATTTCCCAGTCTCCCCTCCACCCCCCTTCCCCCCCCGCGAGTGTTTAGATGAGGCTATGTAATCAGGAAAAATGTGCCCTATTGCTTTTATAAAATAATTCCCAATGTACGCGCGAATTCTAAAGCGTCACAACCGTGTTTACATACTCTAATCAAAACACACCTATCGACCAATGAGCGCGCGCGTAGTAGCAGTTATTTTATAATGTAACTCATAAGAGCACAAAGAATATTATATATTCACTATTAGTCCCTTAACATGTTTACCATACCTTACAACTAAACCAAATTGTCGTTTTACTTTAAGCCATCTTCCTTCTGCTGCGCATATCAGCCCGGTACACATGGCAAGCCTGGTACCCCAGGGGTACCCGGACGGGATGGACGTGATGGCTGTGACGGAAATCAGGGACCTGCTGGAATGACTGGACCAGTGGGACCTCCAGGACTGCAAGGAGAAACTGGTGCCAAGGGCCCGAGCGGACAAAAAGGGGAGCGCGGGGATGTGGCACCTGGTCGGATGTCTCATAGGAACTGGAAAGACTGCGCATGGAAAGACTTAAATGACGACAAAGACAACGGTCTGATCAAGGTGATTGATTTTTGTAGAATGTAAAAATACTTTTATTTTATGTCAGATAATAACACACAGCTTTCTCAAGCTCACTGAATATGAGTTAGCGTTGTTTTTGGTGATAGCTAATCATATTTCAAAACATAAGGATTTATGTGGGAATGAAAAGAATGTATTAGGAACTGGAAAATAGCAATAAACTAACAACAACAAGCTTTATTACCAAATAAAAAAAAAGTTAAACATTACAATATAATATATTAATACAAAAAAGAGGTAATGTTTACTCAGGATAACTAAAAAGCTAATCGAGCTGAGTAAAACTGGCAATAAGAACACAATTCTTTTCTTTCTTTGTGTTTAGTTTGCATTTTCGGGGTGTTTTAGGTCGTGTTAAGGTCATTCCTCCCATTTGCATTGCACATCCTTACTGCGCATAATTTATGGCGTCATTAGCGCGCGCACGTGCACGCGCACATTGAAAACATGACGGAATTGCCTTGATATTGAGCTCTGTCAGTTGAAAAATGGCTCTAGCTCACCAACGAGCACGGGCACCCCAA